TAGTTATTCCAGAGGCAGAGATCAGTAGGATTGCAGTTTGAGGCTAGTCCAGGCAAATAGTTTGAGAGGCTCTGTCTCAAAAATACCCAACACACACACACACACACACACACACACACACACACACACACACACACACACACACATATGCACATACACACACATTAAAAAAAAAAGATTGGCACAGTAGCTCAATTGGCAGAGCACCTGTCTAGAAAGCATAAGGCCCTGATTAAAACTGCAGTACTGCAAAAAAAAAAAAATTTATATTCAGCAAATTTTTCCAATCTCTTAAAAATAAGGTTACCTAGACTACTCTAGAGATATGAACATGAAAGACCCCACTCACAAAATGATCCTGATAATTTCTGGAATGCACAGGATGAATTGATGTTTTCATGCAAATCTACAGACCCAATCCTCTGCAAAACTACAAAAGAAAGATTGGTTCCCCTACCTCCATATTAGACAAGCAGCTCAAAATATTACAGTGGCAACAACAGAACCCTCAAAACCTTGCAGGTATGTTTTTACATTATTCATAGTTATTCATATTATAATTCATATTAATAATTATTTAATATCAAATAAATATTTTTAAATAGCACATTGAAAAAGCCAATAAAGAATCAATCTTGAGGTTTCATTTGTCTATGATATTGGGACAGTTAATGAGGCTATCAGAGGTAATAAACTCTGGAAAAAGAGGTAAAAGTCTCTGGATTGTAAGCAGAAATGAAGAGGGCACATGGGTATCATGTTAGCTAAAATGACTTAAGATTTCAAGAACATGCAATGGTATAAACAATAATAAATATACTGCAGAGAGATAAATAGGTGTGTGTGGAGGAGTAGAAATAAGAAGATGAAACCTATGACTTTTTGCATTGTGCCTTCAATTGATAGTCCAACAGAAAATGGCAACGCTCTGCATTCTATCTGCCATTAAATAATCTTCATTTGAGTTTCTATCTTTTTTTGTTTAAGCATGATTCCTTTGTTCTGATTTGACCATACTACTTCTATTTGGTCACTAAGAACTAAGTACTCTTTCATGTCAGGAAAAATGCAAAGATCATACATGAATATTTTGTATCCAAGTTCTTTGACTCAATAGTATCTGATCTGAGATACAGAATTTATGCTTCTACAATGACCTATCAGCCTCCTGTGACTCTTATTTACATTAACTATTTTTCAGACCCCTATTCTTATTTTCAATACTCTTATGATGACTTAAAATCTTCTTAGGCAGATTAATTCTTCTTTCTTTGCAATAGATGGCTTCACTTTTTGTCTGTACTGACATGGTTTCTACCTAGATTTCTCAGACTATTTTTCACAAAACTTTCCATGTCCTTCCATGCCAAGTCCAGATGTTCTTTAATAAGTTAACACACCTAAACTTTTGGAAAACTATTTTAGGAATTTTTAAATTGAAACTACATTGTAACAGAAAGTTAAATCCATGATGATAGCATGCTTATGTTTTTTGTTAGTGCTGGGAAATCAGAAAAGCAATCCCATTTGCAGTAGCCTTCTTTGGTTAGGAATAAGCATAATCAAGGAGGTAAAAGACCTCTACAATGAAAGCTATGAAACACTCAAGAAATAAATTGAAGAAGATACGAAAAGATAGAAAGACTTCCCTTGTTCATGGATTTTCAGAATTAATATTGTGAAATGACCGTAATACCAAAAGTGGTTTACAGATTTAATGCAATCCCCATCAAAATTCTAATGACAATCGTCACAGAAATAGAAAAAAAAATCCTAAAATGCATATAAAAGCACAAAAGACCTTGAATAGCAAATCAGTCCTAACCAAAAAGATCAATGCTGGATGTATTACAATACCTGTTTCCAAATCATTTTTATACCTACAGAAAAATGTGCTAAGAGCTAACAGAATAGTCATTGTGTTAACAATAGATGTATAAAATGTCATTCATTTCATATGCCTTTATAGAGAAAATACTATAAGGGATGCATTAGTTAAGTGTAGAAAAATACAGACACCAAAGATAAATTCTGTGCACTGAGGGAGCTCATAGTCTAGTAAGAAGATAGGCAATTAGACACTTGCACTGCACTTTATATGTTTGTACAATGTGTTAAATGAGCAAGAGAGAGTAACCTAATTCAGAGTAGAATATCAGTTAAGTGTCACTACAGAGGTGATATGGCTTTACTCTTAGTAGATTTTAAGAATGGAATAAAGGATGAATGCAATATACAGCAAGAAAAAATTGAAGTCCAGCCAATGAAAAAGTATGCAACAGAGAGAAATCAGGATGCTTTTAAAGGTAGGTAGGGAATGTAACAAAGCTGGTACAGAAGCTTATGGGAGTTAGGGAAGGAAAAATGGAAGGCAGAGTGAGTTTATGAGATAAAACAGGGGCCACACATGCATTTAGAATAATATCACTATCAACATTCTTCAGGTACTGAAAGAATGGTATATAAACTGGAGATAAGCCTACTCTCTAAAAACTTATTAAGTACAACTAGGATCAGTGGGTGCAAACCACAGAAACAAAGACTTGATTAAGAATAATAAAATAATAAACAAAGCATGGTAATAGCTATGATTACTCAGTGAGAAATTTTCAGAATATCCCTGGCATCACTGGAAATGGATCCCTAATTTTTGTGAGATATCTGTGAGATAATTTATTCTAAATAGTATAAGACTTCTTTTGTAGAACTTGAACAGCCTTCCTTCTGAGGTTGTGAATATTCCAGCCCAAATCAGTCAAGAGAAGTTTAGACTATGTCATCTTAAGGATTTTTCTTGAAATATTGGACAAATTGTATATACAACTTGCCATAACTTCCTAGAAGCATTGTTAGCATTTCTTGACTCTGTCATATCCCCCAACAATATTTTTAATTCCTCATGGCAGGAATTTTACAGCTTTACCATCAGAGGTTCTTTATAGTTTGACTTATTATTGATGGCTGTTATCTATTTGTCACTTAAGTAGGCAATTAAAAACCTTATAACCTATTTGGGAGAAAAGAAAGAAAGGAGGGGAAGGGAGGGATGGAGGAGGTGAGGGAAGAAGGAATGGGAAAGGAAAGGAAAAGATACATCAGCATAAGAGAAAATGTCTGAGTGAGGATCATTTCATGTGTTCTTTAATAATATTCTCTCTTAATATTTTTATTCTCAGAATCTAGTTAATTGGTTCAAGCATGCCCTATATGTTGCTACAGAATAAATGAGAGAATAAATGGATGACTAAATTAACATTAATTTAATCCTGTGCTGAGAAGACAAAAATGTTTGCTCCAGTTTTCCATGACTATATATATATATATATATAATATATATTAATATATGTCTACTTTTTAAACAAACTACCTATATTAACCATCATATTGGTGGTGATTCTGCTGTCTACTTTGCAATGCACAAAACTTTATTTTATATTTATTCATCTCTATTCATTATGGATGGTTTTAAATTTTCATTCCATATTCTCTTTCAAAGTACACTATTTCTTTCATAGAATTTTAGGGATATTTACCCCAGCTAAGACAAAGATCATTTTTAGAAGAAAAGGAAAATGCTGCTTTCTGAAGACCTTAGAAACGTCAAGGTAACATTTTCTATTTCATCTCAATTGAAGAGCCAATGCTTAAATGGCTCAGATGAAGCAATAATGACAGCAATGTGTTATTTTCAGGAAGTGAAAGGAAAAGGATTATTATGATATCAATTTTCATTCTAAAACACAGACATTTAATTCTTCTAAATGCACACAAACACATACTTGAATGTACTTTTTATGTTTTTGATATGCTTATATACCATATAAACTTCAAGAGTCACTGTAAACTTCCTTCCTCATCTTTAACTTGCCTATGCCTTTTGATAAAATAACAATGAGAAAATTAGTAAAAAAAAATCAACTAGTTCCAAAGTTAGACAGTATTGTAATCTTAATGCTATAAAAATTCCTCATAGGCTTCTGGATGGATTATCACATCTTCTACTTCAGTAATGGAGTTTTACAAGGTTACTACATTGTTCATTTTACTTATTCTATTCTAATTTCTGACTATTTTCTTAGATGTTAATTCCAACATATAGCACTGCTGATGCAGAGAAGAATAACACACATATAACCATTAACAAAGATAAAAATTAAGGAAAAATAAATTGTAAAATAAAGTGCTTTTTGCCCTAATATGGATATGGACTATGTCATATGTTTACTCCGAAGGTATCTAATTTTATAAAGGTTAATATAAGGGTGGAAAATAAGGAAAAGGAAAAGGAAAGTTGAAAGGATGGAAATTTCCTACCAAAAAGGAGTAAGGCAGTTTAGGATATGAACAGAATCAGAGCATGTCATCCAAGTGAACTGTAGTCACTAGAAAACATGTACTAAACACCAATCTGACAATCCTGAATGTGTAACTCGTTAGGCTTAACTTTCATTGCTTTGCTGTCTGTCTTGAATACGTTTTTATATGAATATTGTCATAGAAAAAGAACATATCTTTTTAGACAAACATTCTAACTAGAATTACAATTTTCTTTGATAACATTCATGCTAACCTTCTGATCTGTATTTTCATTCCAAAGGCCCTTTGGTAGTAACAGTTTAGAAAACTCTAGATTAAGCTTAAAGTTTGCAACCAGCCTAGCAGGAAGTCCTGGACTCTCCCTTGAAGACACATTGGTTTAACAGTGACACATGGATCAATTCTGTGTGCACATGCACTCAACCCTAGCCCTTTTCATGAGACTGTGCAAGATTTTACTCTTACAAGAGAGAGACACTTCAACATTAAACCAATTATCAGAAGTTACTATTACTTATCACAAAAATAAATGTTTATACTGTGCCATTTTTCTCAACTCTCACAAATTGATGTAACTTTTAAATATTCCTTTTTTCTTCTACACATGGTGACCCTACATATTTGGTAAAAAGATTAGTAGTTAGTAATTCTGTGATATCAATAAATTTTTTAAGTAAACTCACTCAAATTGTACAACTCTTGAGTTTTTATATTCATTCTTCAGATTGCTTGATTGAAAGATCTCATCTATCTAAAAAAGAGGTTGCAAAGTGTTAAATTTAAGATTTTTACTTTTGCTGAAAAATTTATATGAAGTATAGATATGTTTAGTTTAGAAATGGGGATATTTTCTTCATGTTAATGGGGATTCATAATTTAAGAATTTTGATCATATTACATTTTTACTAATTTTTCTTAAATGAGAAATGGGATCTATGGATTTTTTGAGAAGTTAATAAAACTACTGTGAAATTTAAAAACAGCTGAAAAGAGACAGTACCCTACCATTTGCTGAAGGTCAAAAGCAAGAGCTTTGAAATCCACTGAGTGTTGATCTTGTAAATTAGGATTATAGGTAGCTCCAGATATTATTGTAAATGTACCTCTTGCTTGATAGCTGTTTTCAAATGCTGTGTCTAGATGAATGAATAAAAATTAAAACACTGAATTATTTATAAGATACAATAGGTACATTCTGGATTAAGACACAGAAATGAAGTTCTTGCTTGATGTATTGATCTTATGGTTCTTGCTTTTTCTTTGTAGAGTTCCCCCACCTCAACCCTCCACCCCCCTTTTACCTGCCTGGTTATTTTAAAAGATCAAAAAGTATACTTCTTTTTCTTCCATTATTTCTTTCTATTTTCTTTGAATTCTGATCCACACTATAAGTCTTCCAGTTTTTTTTTTTTTTGAAGAAACAGAGACTAATCACATTTTACCAATTATAGGAAGTGATTCAGGAAGTCATGGTGAGAAATGGACTATTAAAAGTTTTGTAGTTGCTTTGAGATACTTCTTGAACCCCTTGCATCCAGGAACACTGCTGGTTTTCTACATGTGAATTGCTGTGAAGATTTCAGTATGTATGTTACTTTGAAACACAGCTTTGAACCTTCTTCTTATGTTCTAATAATTACAAAATTGGCATGTATGACTTTTGGCATTAGAAAGTGATTGTCCTTATTGAAGAATTTATTGAGAATGATGCTAAAAATAAATTATCTCAATAGGAAGAAAAGGTAAAAACATGGTGAACAAATTAAATAATCCATTTTTGAGAAGATCTTCTTTGATATATGTTTATATTTAAAATGAACAGCTTCAACTGAAACTCACAATGACAAAATCATCAGTAAGAGTAATAATAGTGATACATAATTCTGATAGAGCTATGTGTGAGAGGATGATAGTTTTTCTTTTCTAAAATGGGGAACCTAGGGGTCGGGATGACTAAGAAAATCTCCAAATGTATTAAATGTCATATGTGACAGGTCTGCAATGCAGACTTAGAAGTGACTTACTCAGTATCACGATCTGTAAGAGGTACCAAACTGCCCAATCCAGGATAACATTTCTAATCTTTCAAACAACAACCTTGGGTATAGTCTAAATGATTATTGTTGCATAGCTGATGTAACAGCTTTATTTAATGTACTCAAAATTAAACATTTCATGTTTAAATGCAGAAGACAAAGAAAAACTGAAGAACTGTCATAGTTTAGAGGAGACAAAGGAGCTTGATAAGTAAATCCTATGTGGAAAACTGCACTGTGTCCCAAACATTAGAATGTTAGTAGAAATAATAGTGAAATCTAAATAAAGAGCTTGGCTCACCCAAAATATTGTAACAGTGTTGATTTCTCAGTTGTGACAATGACTATGGGTATATAGGATATTAACATTGAGGAAAACTAAGTAAAGACTATGTAAGAACTCTGCAATTTGTATAAAGTTCACGTTGATTTCCAACACAGTAAAAAATATGTATATTAAACACACTGTAATATATTTTTTGCCCTCTGATGTTCTTTTATAGATTTAACTCAAATCTCTTTTAATATTTAGTTGTTTCCAATTAGGTTGTATTAAAATTTATAAATATTTGTTTTATATTTTATAAAATAACTGATTTTTGGATCTTAAATTAGCATAAAAAATTCCAATATATTCCCAAATTACTATGCCTTCTTGAACTTATCACAGCATGAAAAGAAGGCCATATCCACTTTTCTAAAAGTCTAAGTGAAACTGTATAATTGTTCCTTAAGTCATATAAAATGCAAATGTGCCATTTCTTTAAAATATATTGTTATTGTATTTAAATAAACGCTATGGGACATACTATTTAAATAAATGAGAAATTACTCTGAAATTATTTTATATAAAACTATAAAACATTATTACATTCTAACATTTATTTACTGGACTTATGTAACTCACCCCAAAGAAGAGAATTTGCTTCATACAACTAAGATCAATCACATGTAAAAAGTTCTGAGAGTTTTTAGAAATCATTGATGTGCCCATATGTAATTCATCACCATAATTACATTCATTATGCAAACATTTTCTCATAAAAAATAAACTTTTAACACTCAGATTATTGTTATGCTTCTAATTTGTTTCATTTATTATATATGTGAAAAAATGGGAAATAAACGCAAACTCCTAGACCTGAATTATGTAGTTTGGAATCTTATTTCTGCTATCTACTAATGATACAAACTTAATCAAATTAGTATTTAAATTTATTGTCTCAGATTCCTCACCTGTAAAATGAGTTACTAATAGCAATTAAGTCATACGCTTATTGTATCAAGACATTATATTTGAATGTCTTGAAAAACTATTTTAACAGATTAAGATAGTTCTAAATAATGATGTTTTAAATTTTTTCTTCAGTTTATTACAAGTGGATACTCAGACAGATTGAGATCTATGTAAATCTTTAATTACTTTCAAAACTGTTTATACTGTTGTAATAAAGATTGGCCTAAAGAGAATAAAGATATTATCCCATAGAAATAAATGGTAAGTTTTTATTAACTTCCCATACTTACCAAATTGTACAGTCAACCATTTTCTAACATGTTTATTATTTCAAATGTATCAGAATGAGCCCACAAAGTGTGAAACCTACTATATTACATACTGAAATTAAAAAAAAAAATCTTGACATTATCCACTTAAAAAAATAGTCTCATGCTTGACTTGTGGATTAAGTTTCAAGTTATATACCAATTAATTTTTCTAATATTCTGTGAAGTACAGAGAAACATCTGAATGTAATAAAAATACCTCATGATAAACCCAAAGCAATGAATGAGGTATCCTGAAGGATAGCTGAGGTGAAAGTGTGATCATTCATAGAAGAATACCTTCAGTAGCCAAGTGCATGACTTACCTCTTTCTGATTGATTGACTGCTAGCCAGGACACTGCAATTATTCCAGCACAGACCACCACTAGTATGGCAAAGAGAGCTGCAAACATGATTTCATAGGAGCTGAGGGATTGATGCCTTGGAGATATATTTCTTCTTGAGCTCATTTTTTGGTTTTTGGAGGCTTGCTAATTTAAGAACTGTAAGAGAATATAGATAGATATATATTTTCTCTACATGAGCAAAAAAAATACTCCAACTCTAGAGTCAAATCGCTCATATTTTAAGGATTTGTAAGGGAGAAAAAGCCTCCTAAGTTTAAACTCTTACCAGTTGGTATAAATGTGTTGTCTATATCCCTTTGGAAACATCATGTCTCTATACATGAAATAGCCTTAAAAGGGTAGTTAAACTTTAAAAAGATATGAAATACTAACGATGCCTAGAGTTGTAAATAGTAATCATCTGAACAGGTCATTTGTGAGGTGAATGAAATTAAATTCATATTGTAAACAAAACATGATACTCTATCATTTGGGAACTATTAGAAAATATATAAAATTCATGACAAATTAGTCATTAGGCACATGCAGTTGGTATTTGCAGAGAGAGTTCCTAACAGATCAACCTTCTACCTTCTGACCATAGGTCACCAATAACTCTTTTCTCTCATCATACTTAATTATAGATATCTCAAAAATAATTCATGCACAGATATATATTATTCTAACCTATAGTTTCTCTTTCTCATATATATACATATATGTATTTTCTTTCTCTCTCTATAAATACATATATTCAAATCAAAACAATCAAAAGTGTTAATGACTATTATGATACTCATGGAATTATGCAATGGAAAATCTCATTGATTTAGCTTAAAGTCCACTTAAACAAGGTATCATATAATTACTCTTTATGACCTCATACTCCCATCAATATATGGGAATAGCTGTCATAAGAGAAATATGACATTTATTTCTATTTTAAGAAAATATTCTGGGTGGGGAAGATATTGCTCACTTGCCCTGGATTTTATCTTTTAAAATATGCCAATTATAACAAGAACACAGTTTCAGATAACCATGCTTACAGTTGTAGATATATGCCTTCTGGGAAAAGCAAAGGTATTTTCTGATCAAGTACAGTGTATCACTGAAACTTCAACACTGTGTATTACCATGAGTCAAGAATTAAATACAAATATGTAAAACCAACTCTAGCCTGAAAGTACACCATTTGTTTTTTGCTCTGTTAGGCCAGAAGTAAATAAATTCTAGGTCAAAAACCCTTAATATACTGAAATTGCAAAATTATAATTGGCTAAGAATAGCAACAACCACTTTTTCTTCTTCACTGTTAAGAGAATTGCAGATTATATGAAATCCTTTCTGATAAAAAGTAGGCTACAAGTAAATATAAATATGTCATGGGAATATTTACATGTTTATTTAATTAGATATTTATTATTTAATGCTCTACATTATTAATTAATTGAAAGACACCCATACTGAAGGAGTTGAGAGAAGTTCAACTTATTTTTATTAGTAAAGACAGTCTAATAACAGACTAGATCCTCTGATAAAACTGGAGACTGGAAAAGATGCTCCTTGAATTTTGAAAGCCAAGGGAGTAAAAGCAAAAGTACTCTTCTCTTTGTATAGCTGATGCAGAAGCAAGCATTCTCAGAAAATCAAGTAGATCTCCAAGTTTCACTTCTTTTGACTTTCTAGAAGGAAAGGAGAAGACAGCAAATGATTTCACATACTCTGTGAAATATAATCTCCCATGAAATATACAATTGAAAACCAGAAATGATTTAATTTGAGTCAGAAAGAAAAACAGCATTCAGATTATAAATTCTCTTCAGATGACATATTATAATAGTTATATTTAGTATACTCAAATAAGCGGAAGAATATCTTTTTAAGGCAATAACTTATTAAGAACAGACTGAAATTTTAAAAAGTGAGTGAAAAAAGAGTAAACCATATCTTGAAATAAAGAAGACCTATTAAAACAAAATAGGATTTGGCCTATCAGATAACAAAATTCATTACAGAGCTGTAATAATAAAGAAAGTGTGATATCAGTCTAGGAGTAGAAATGTTTCTCAATGAGATACAATAAAGAACCATAAACAACCTGATTCACATGTGGAAAAACATCATACATCAAAAAAGATAGTTTTACTGTTAATAGATGAGGAAAAAATGACTATAATCCTAGCTACTTAGGAGGTTGAGACTGGAAGAATCCCAGGTGGAGGCCAGCCTTGCAAAAGAAAAATGCATTCTAGTGGATTAATTATACATAAAAAGTACATAAAATTTTAGAAAAATATGGAAGAAAAAAGTGTCATTTTGATAGTAAATTATGAAAGTTTTTTTAAACATCCAAATATAGAGGCACAAACTAGGAAGAATATGATAAATTTATCCAGTAATAGCATTCATTTTTCTTTTTAAGGAAATGATATCAAAAAGAAATGAAAACTCAAAGACTTTGACTAGAAGATTAGTTTTTCTGTGTAAGTATTAGTCTGGCTATAACAAACAAAAAAGAGGCAAATATTTTAATATGATATCCTGAAATTTATTTGAGAGGCAATCCACAGAAAGTCCATCAGAAGAGTCGGGAAATGAAAACTGAAGGAGAAAATGATGCCAGTGAAAACCATGTGGTCATGTCACTTATCATTTGGAACAAAATCCTAGAGGACATGAGCGCGAGATAATAAGAACAAGCTCCAGAAGTTCCCCATCAAGGGGCAAGGAGTAACATAATTATTTTCCAACTAGCTATAATAATTGAGTGAGACTAGCTATGGGACTTTGTCTCTGCCACATTCAGGTTGGTCTCTGAGTGGTAGAACATCCATGAAGCTGACCAGCAGACAGACATAAAAGTGAGTACTTTTTGGATATAGGAGTCTTACAATGGTTACTACAGCTTAGCAATGAGAAACACTATCTGGATTTTTTATGAAGAGTTTCCTCTAGTTAGTGAAGAGAGACAAATAGCAAGTAATTAATAAAAAATACAAGCTAAGCAAAAAGTAAACAGCACAAATGCACAAATGTCTGTAGATGCTCAACTTTAGTAGATATCTAACTTTAATAATAATTATAGAATTGCAATTGAAATAAAAAATGGAATATTATACCCTCAAGTGTACCAGTAAAAATAATGACCTTAGCATCACTAAGCTCATAAGAATTCATTGTTTATGGCTTATGAGAGTGAAAATTCAAATAATCATGTTGAAGTACAATTTGATAACATCTAGTGAAACTAAATAAGTGTACACAAAAAAATGACCCCCAAGTTCCTCTTCTAGTTAAATGTCCTAGAGAATGAATCCAGCAATCACAGATAATGAGACAATATTCATTGTAATACTATTGTAAACTTTTATAAAGTATAAGAAAAATTTTATATGTTTATCAATAGGAAAATTTAAAAGTGAATGGTAGTTTTTTTACCACTTTTAATTAATGCATATTAATTGTTTAATGAATGTGGGGAGTTCATTGTGGTATTTCCATACATGCACAGAAAATATTTTGAAAATATTTATCCCCAGTAGTGTTTTTATTCAATAAAATATTTTGTACAAGTTAAAAGTCATGATCTGAACCTGTTTTTACAATACTGCAAATAATAAAACAAAATATTAAGCAAAGAATCAATTTCATAAGCATAAATTCAGTGGTAAACTAAAATTAATAAAAGTAAATTAATTTGTTAAGTGTTACAGTATGTACAAATGTATATGTGGAAGTAATAAGCAGAAAAATTACTATGATGGTTACTCTAAGCAGAAAAGAAAGGTGGTAGGGGTGGATTAGCAATGTATATTGTGTTGTGTTAGTTCTCTTAATATTTTTGAAATTTATCAACACATCATGTTAACTTCACTAGAGTGGCACCATAAACACATGTGAGTTAATAGTATTCTAAGTATTTTTTCTGTATAAATTAGTAGTTAAAGGAAAGGCCTATGATTGACATCCTTGTGATATTAATAAAATTTTTCATCTTTATTAAATAATTACTAAAACCTTAAACTTTATGCACAGAAATGTCAATTTTAAGATATGTGGAAGATACAGAAATATATTTTCTAAGTCATATCATTAAATGTTTATAGGAGAGTGAAATATTTATTTTAAATATATACTTAAAATATTTAAACATGAAAGTTGAAGTGAAGTAGATGTGAAATAGAACCGAGTAGAGGAATACATTTCAGGATGTCCAGTGGATGACTGAGACCCTAGAGAGTACTGAATCCTCTATATAACATACTTACTTCCTTATGCCTATATACTTATGTCAAATTTTAATTATGACTTTTGCAATTATGTAAGCATCTGACAACAAGAACTAATAATAATTGAACATTTATGCCAATATACTGGACACACTGGATATACTGGATGCTGGGTATTTGACAATATATGGATACACGGATATGCTGGACAGAGGAATGGTTCATATCCTGGATGGAAAGAAATGGGGCAGTATGAGATTTCATGTTGTTCAGAATTGGTGCAATTTACAATTTAGTAATTATTTATTTCCCAATTTTCCACTTGATGTTTTCAGACACAGGTAAGTGAAACTGCAGAAAAGTAAAACCATAGCTAAGGGGAACTACTGTAATATATTTGTGATGGTGAATGAAGAGATTATATGTAGTTATGAAGTTTCATTAACACTCAATGAAGTTTTCAGTGAATAAATGAAAATTGGGGTCACTATTTCAGTGATAGTGATGACATATTCTGGTTAGGTAAATAATGAAATAGAAAGACTTGAGAATAGTTGAGGTAGGGGTTATTAGAGCCAATGATGACCTTTGGGAAACTCCTAAAGAGGAGTTAGAATTATTTTTGTCTGGAGTGAAGGACAGGATAGGAATAAGATAGCTAAGAAAATTAAGTCTAATAAAGCTCTTGATAATCATATCAAAGCAAACGGAGCAGGGGGTTAAGGACCATGGTGACAAAATGATCTGTTCATTTGCTCAACAAATAGGTGGTTTTATACTCCGTGCAAAGTGACAATAATAACTGCAGAGCACCTCTAATGATTAAGCCATAAGCATTTACATAAAATTTCTTCACTCTTCAAAACAAGGTGAGAAAATCCTAAAAGCTTT